AATCGTACAATATTTTTATTTATTTATTTAGCCCATGATGTATTGATGTATTATTACATTATCCATGTTGACCATGAATGTTTTGTTAGCTTTTCTATAAAATATGGTTAAAATATTAATACATCTTTCTTGCAGGGTTGTAAGTGGTTCTAGAGATGCAACATTGCGAGTTTGGGACATTACGCATGGGACCTGTTTACATGTCCTGGTTGGTCATTTGGCTGCAGTCCGTTGTGTTCAGTATGATGGTAGATTAGTTGTTAGCGGAGCCTATGATTACATGGTCAAGGTTTGGAATCCTGAACGTGAAGAATGTCTGCACACATTACAGGGTCATACAAATCGAGTGTATTCACTTCAGGTAAATTGATAATTTAATATTTTGTTATATGTAATATTGTGGCAAGTATATATATATATATATATATATATATATATATAATATAATATAATATATGATATAATATATAATATAATATAATATATGATATAATATAATATATGATATATATATAATATATAATATAATATAATATATAATATAATATAATATAATATAATATATATATATAATATATATATATATATATATATATATAAAATTGAAATTTTATTTGCTTTACAAATAAAAACTAAACTATTTTTTATATTTGTAGAAACTCTTCCTAATTATTATTAAAGTTTATATAGTAGCTAATGATTACTTAGTAAAAGGTTTGAACGTTTTGTTGAGCCTATTCAATTAAAGTTGAATAAGAGTTCCGAAATTTAATGATAACAAATTGTCAATGAAGCTTCTAACATTATATTTATTATATGTGCCACTTATTTTTCTCTATGCACAAATTCCATTAACTAATTTTGTTGCAGTTTGATGGAATTCATGTGGTTTCTGGTTCACTGGACACATCTATTCGCGTTTGGGAAGTGGAATCCGGTTCTTGCAAACATACACTGATGGGACATCAGAGTTTGACATCAGGAATGGAACTGAGGAATAATATATTAGTTTCTGGAAATGCAGATTCAACAGTTAAAGTTTGGGATATCATTAGTGGGCAATGCCTGCAGACACTGTCAGGTATTTATAATAAAATCCTAGAAATCTTACATATGTTTATTTAAACAATATTGATGAATATCAATTTTACATTGCAAGTGTTTCTGCTCTAAATAATATAGTCATATTTCAATTTCAGGTCCCAATAAGCACCAGTCAGCCGTCACTTGCCTTCAATTCAATTCGCGATTTGTGATCACATCTAGCGATGATGGTACAGTCAAATTGTGGGACGTCAAAACAGGAGAGTTTATTAGAAATTTGGTAGCTTTGTCTAGTGGTGGTTCTGGTGGTGTAGTTTGGAGAATTCGTGCCAATGAGACTAAATTAATTTGTGCCGTGGGTAGTAGGAATGGAACCGAAGAGACAAAATTAATGGTATTAGACTTTGATGTTAAAGGCGCCTGTTTGAAGTGCTCTTAGCGGTAAACTACATCGCGAGCTTCTTTAGAAAGTTCTGAGGTTTGGGCTAGAAATAAATATGCTGATTAGTGGTTTTACTCAAATTTATTTATTGGATTTTAATAATTATTTTTGTATAAATTTTTGCCCGAGGTTTATCGGATTAGAGAGTTTTAAATATTTTCTTTAATTTTGTTGTTTTACTTGACGTTTTATAATATTCTAATCTTATTCTGCATTAATGCAATTAATTTTTACTTATTGCTGCAAAATATTCAGCACCTAATGATCAAAGATTGGATTTTAACCATGAACAAAATATATATTGTAGGAAAAAGTTAATTTTTTACTTACTTATTACTGGTTCAATTGAATTCTGGATTTCAGTATTTTAACCAGCAATTGTTTTTAGCAATACCTCTAAGCTTGCTAAATGCGCTGCGCGATTTAAAATGAGTGTGAAAAATAAATAAAAATGAAAACAAATATGTAAAAAAAAACTTTAAACAGCATAGTCTTGTTGCTTTAATCGTATAATACTGTTGTTGATCAGAAAGTTGTTTGTGACAATGGTCACCTATATATAGAAGAAATAATTTTCTCAAGTACTTATTGTAAGGTTATTGTTGCAAAAATCTTCCACAACAGACGTACTTCAAATATTCTATGCCTCTTTGATGATTTGTTATGTTTTCTTACAAGAAATTTTTTTGTTTTGTAAATTGTTATACATACTTTATAAGTTTATCTATTTTTCTTTAGAGTGTGTGTTTATGTGGCTTCTGACGATACACTTGGGACTGTGCATGACTGTTTAATTTTCCTAAATTTAATTTAATCGTTTTATTTCTGTTACAAGTCAGTGTATCATTAGAAGCTTTGTAAATACTACTAAACCTTGGCATATGATAGGGTTATACTTTAGTTAAGAAAATGCTTGAAAATACCTGTAAAAATAGTTATTAATCAGAAAGTCTCTGTATATATATTTTAACAACCGAAGCTTACTCATTATATTTATTCTATATTAACATCTTCAAACAACAATGTGAAAAAGCATAAAAAGTAACCAAAATAATTTATGATAACAATCATAGTAATTAAATTGTATTTAAGTTTTTGAAGCTATGTGAATTTGTTCCCAACTATTTTTGTTTTGGTTTTGATTTTTTGCTGTATCAAAGTTTCTATAAAAATATTATATTTTTATTTCGTAGAAAACTACTCAAGTACAGCACTAGTCAATATATCCTATTATTTATTACTTGTAATTTCTAACATGAACAAATTCAAATGATTTCAAATATAACACATATAGACTGACTAAAACATTGATCTAGTAATTGTATTATACTCCTAAAATAAGTAATATTTTAGTGTAGGTAATTGTAAGTTTTTATGTATTTTGAATAATTTTTATTGTATCGCTGATATTCACATAAGTCATTATTCATTTTATTTTAATCTGTTTTATAATACAAGTTGAAATTTAAGATTCGTTTTTTGAATTTAATGATCAATTTCAGTCTGTTGTCATTTAACTTTATTATGTTTTTAGATATCGAATCTCATTTTTTGAAAAATGTGTCTGGAATAAGAGTGCTAATTTAAACAAACACGATTCATTTATGTTATCATGTGCAACATATGCATACATTGTTTTGGATTTTCTTTCTTTATTCATCAATGTGCACTAATTTATATATAGAATAAATTATCTTTCTGAAAAAACAAATATTTTTATTCTAACTGTAACCTGTTACAGTATTGTATATCATTGTGAAATCTGAATTATTTCATTATATTCCTAGGAAAAAAGGATAATATATTCAAAACAAATCTAAAATAGGATTTCAAGACAAACCTGCATTAAACGCACAGCCAGGAGATTCTGTTTGGAATAGATTTGTCTCCAGATTGTATGTAAACACATTAACTCGAACATGAAAAAAATAGCAATTATCTTTTGTGTTGTGACTAAGAAATCCCCTAGGCTGAAACATTGAGTATATATTTTAATATAACCAAATATGTTAAAATTTTATAATTAAAGTATTTTTTTTTTTAATTTTCAGATCATGTGAGTGAAAGTTTATGATTCATCCACGTGCGAAAAATTAGCAAACACACAATTTTTTTTTTCAAGTTTGTCACCGATGTAAGTTCTTTTTGTTTTACTAGTTTTATTTTATTTCTTCATCACAATTAAGAATGATTTTTATTCCTAATTACACTTCCACTTTTTAATCTAATATAAATAGATTTGTTGATTATTTGTTTGATTTACTTATTTTTGATAATTACTTTTTAATTATTTTAGGATACATAATTTATCTTATTTTTATTTATTACAGGATGGCATTGTTGCTGTACATTTTCATAAAATTCATTTTTATGAATTTGTTTAAACGAATATAATTTATACATATTTTGCTACACAATCCAAGATTGCGCCGTTTTTAAAATAAAATTAGAACAAAAATATGTCAATTTAAAAAAGTAAAAAAAATATAAAAATTTAAAAAAAATATATAAAAATGTAATAACCAAATAAATATTAAAAATTAATTTTATAATGTGATTTTTTGGATAAACTAAAAAAAATACAAAAAAATTACTTAACAAAATGTGAAGTGAAAAAAAAGTTAAAAATGCAAATAAATTTCTAAAAAAATAAAAAAGTGCCAAGAAAATAAGATACCGCAATCTTCAGGAGGACCTACTGTTTTTGGTATGTTTATATGTAACTCAAATATGATAATTACATTTTAACCTTTGTTAAAAAAAATTGCAAATGCTAATTAATTATGGTAAAACCTTACAGGTTTTCTAGTTCGGTGCAAACGTTAAAGCCTTCGAGATGCCTTCATGTCCACCAGTTGGTCCAGGGCCAGGAGCCTATGGTCTGCCACCAGAAGTTGGGTTTCCATGCCATGATGTTCGGAAGTATGTATTGTGATTACACAAGAGTTAGCTATATAATTTAATTTTGAATAACAAAATCATATTTTTCCAGACCACGTTTGCCTATGTACTCATTTGGCCAGAGAACACCTTTGTACAGTGCAAATAAAGGACCTGGTCCATGCTATAAAATTGAAGGGGTAAGTTATTCTAAGTATTTCTTAATTTTATTTCATTATTACTTATTTTATTATTGTTCAATTTTGGTAAAAAATTCTGGTTTTGGTAATACAATTAATAAAATTTTTGGAATCTGTGAGGAGGAACTATATGGGTCATAATATAAACTTAGTTAATATAATATCTCATTAAATGCAGTTGATCTAATTTTAAGCAATATACCCTAAATATAACTGCTATAAATCCATTTCGGCAGTTTTAATTATGATCTATTTTATTTTGACCAGGTATCTCGATATGGAAAAGACACCGTTCCCATGTTTTCCTTGAAGTCTCGAAGTACGCTTCCTGAGAAATCTACAGGACCTGGTCCAGCGGCCTACTCACCGAAATTAAAGGACAATGCACCAGCCTTTTCTATGAGAGGCCGAATAAATGTGCCTACCGTCAGCGTGGGACCAGGACCATGTGCCTATTCCTTGCCTGGGACAATAAATGATTTGGCGTACGTATAATTTTTGGGGCACATGATCTAGAGCTCCTCTAATTTTAACTAAATGTAAATATTTATAAACGTGTTTTAATAAATCAACAGGTTCAGTATAACGTCCCGTAGAGATTCTACTGAAGTTTGGAAATCACCTGGTCCTGCGACATACTATTTGGGAAATCCTGATGTTTATAAGGTTAGTGTCTGTAATTGGTGTTGATGTTGCACTTATAGGGATATTTTACTTTAATATGGTTATAAATTAACATATTTTTAAAAAAAATCATATATGGTTGGTTATTCTTATATTATATTATATCCGAGCACAAGATTGCAAATTCGATACCTGCTTCGAGCAGCCTGATGTCAAGCAGTAGTGAAATCGGTTTTTACTTGAAAATATATATAGCAATATATTTTAAAGTCAAAAAAGTTCTTTGGGGCATAACTATTGGATAAATTCTAATAATAAAATAAATTTAATAGATATAGGCCAACCATTTGGTAGCCTTCTAAAAAGCTACGTGTCAATTCTAATTATATTATATCCAAGCACAAGATTGCAGGTTCGGTACCTGCTTCGAGCATCCTGATGTCAAGCAGTAGTGATATCGGTTTTTACTTGAAAATATATATATATAGTAATGTATTTTAAAGTCAAAACAGTTCTTTGGGGCATAACTATCGGATAAATTCTAATAATAAAATAAATTTAATAGATATAGGCCAATCATTTGGTTGCCTTCTAAAAAGCTACATGTCAATTCTAATTTATGTGTCAATTTAATGTAATTATTATTTTTTTCTCTATTTTTTTTCGATAGCATCGCAATGGTTCATTTTCCTTGACGTCTCGTACGAAAGAATATTCAACATTCAAGTCACCAGGACCTGCTGCGTATTATGCGAAAACCCATCCTGGTTCTAAGGGTCCTTACAGTTTCTCATTTGGATCTCGACACAACCCTTGTTCCATGCCTTATATTACACCTGACGATTTAGCTCAATAATTTTATACATTTATAATAAATAATAAAAATCATACGACCATAAAATAAATGACAGGGTTTTTATAATTTATATGTTTATTTATGAAATCATTTTCAATTAAGTTGGACTGATTCTGTCTTTATTCATTATTGAAATAGAAGCTGTTAAGACGTTTTGTGATCGTAAACTACTTTGTAATTTACGGAAAAATAGTTGCCATTGTATTTTTGACTTGCTTAGGCAATGGATCCGATTTACATGTGAAATACAGAAAACTAAGTCATTATGAATAATTTGACACCAAAATTGGAAATACATATGTGCATTTCGATAAAGATTCACGTTTTTAAATTCTGAACCGATTTAGAACATTCAAAAACTGTTTGAAAGATATCAGATTATATCTTTACGTTTCAAATTATTCCCAACATTTTGGTATACATACTTTAGAAAAATTGGATATATGTGTGTGCGGATACAAATTTTTCGCCGACGATTTTAGGAACACGGATCAACCGATTTGAATAATTCAAAAAACATTCGATTCGTATTAATAAGTAGACGTGCTAATTAGTTTTTGGCAAAGGCAGGTCCAGCGGTTTCCAAGATACGGGGTAAAAAGTGCCAAAAATGATAATTCAGTTTTTGAGATATTTAAATGATTCAAAAAACATTTTATTTGTATTGACCAAATGAACAACTAGTTAAATTTTTGGGAAGGCAGGTCTAGTGGTTTCGGAGATGAAAAAAGTAAAAAAAGCCATCTGGCGGTCAAAAATGGTCATTAGACATATATATGCGCATCAAGTTATCAGATATTTTATAGAGATTTTAATAAGAAGTACAAATTTTGTTTATATTTCTATGGGTTCCGTACCAATGTTTAACTTTTAGACTGCAACGCGGCGCTTACGCGCTACGATTTTTTGTCTCTAAAATAGCTACGCAGCAAATAACAGTACAAAACTTTCAAAAAAATTTAAAACGTAAAAAAATCGAGAATATTTAGTAATTTTTTTTTTAAATTGTGAAAATTCTCTAAAAACTAATTTTTTCGAAGTTTAAAAAAAAATTTAACGTTTTTTCAAAAATTTTAATTTTTGATACGGGAAGTTCCAGCAATTTGCTTGAAAGCACGATACCATGCACCACTAGATTGTCATTACTTCGGTAATTTGTTAATGTATATAGGTACTATCATTTGCTTTTTTATATTACCAATATTATAAATGATAATAATTAATGATTATGGGCTATCGTTGCGGAGATACTAATTAGATAAGACAAAAATATCAAAGACATCTAATTTTTTTTAATTTCCCGTAGGGCAAGTTATAGTAATCGCAAAAAAATCGAAAATGATATTTTTTATATATATCTTTACGTTTCAAAGGATTCTGAACATTTTGGCATACCTTAGAAAAAATTGATGTATGTGTGTGTGTGTGTGCGGATACAAATTTTCGTCGACGATTTCGGGAACACCGATCAACTGATTTGAATAATTAAACAAACATTCGATTCGTATTAATCAGGAGACGTGCTGATTAGTTTTTGGCGAAGGCAGGTCTAGCCGTTCCGAAGATACGGGACAAAAAGTTCCAAAAATAGTAACTCAGTTTTTAAGAGAACGGAGCGTCCGATTTTAATAATTCAAAAAAACATTTAACTTGACGTGATGAAGAACTGATTAAACTTTTGGGGAGGCAGGTCCAGCGGTTATGGACTCTCAATAAAAATAAGTTTAAAAATGTCATTTGGCGGTCAAAAATGTTTATTGGACATATGTACATCAAATTATCAGATATTTTATAGAGATTTTAATAATGTATACACATTTTGTAAATTTTTTTTGAAAGTACAAAGTAAAATGTTTTTTGAATTATTCAAATCGGACGCTCCGTTCTCTTAAAAACTGAGTTCCGGTTTTTGGCACTTTTTGCCCCATATCTTCGGAACGGCTTGACCTGCCTTCACTAAAAACTAATCAGCACGTCTCCTTATCAATACGAATCGAATGTTTTTTGAATTATTCAAATCGCTTCATCCGTGTTCCCGAAATCGTCGACAAAATTTGTATCCGCACACACATACACACACACATACATCCATTTTTTTAAGGTATGCCAAAATGTTCGAAACCTCTGAAACGTAAAGATATATAAAATTTTTCATTTTCAATTTTTTGCGATTACTATAACTTATCCTACGGGAAGTTAAAAAGCCATTCGGCGGCCAATAATGATAATTAGACATTTTTTAAAGATTTTAATAATAAGTATAAGTTTTGTTTACATTTCTACTGGTTCATACCAATTTTTATTTGTTATACTGCGACGCGGCGCTTCGATATTTTGTCTCTAAAACATCTTTGCAGCGAATAAACGTTCAAAATTTTCACAATGTAAAAAAATGCTAGATTTTTCAGTCAAATTTTAAAAAGATTTAAAAAAGTTTTTTAAAAAAATTAATTTTTGGTACGATAAGTTCCAGCAATTTGTCTTAAAACACGATGCCATGCACCACTAGTATTGTCATTACTTTGGTAATTTTTTAATGTACATAAGTACTATTCTTTGTTATTTCTTAATGGCTATTGTAGCGGCTGTACTAACTAGATAAGAACAAAATACTTAAATACAAGTTTTCAAAAACACTAATATAATGTTTCTTCTAAATATTTTTTTCAAAAAAATCAAAATTTTCATTTTTTTTACAAAACCAGCAGTTAGGATTAGGATCCAGGAATACAATGCTCTACACCACAAGTGCAAACATTTTTAAATACTTACAAAACCACGAGATTCTATCAATACCCCCAACGTCTATTATCTAGTCAAATCTTTGCGGCATACATTTAAAATGTGGCGATGCAACTCGCACCGCTGCAGATATATACGCGCGCATACCCGTCCACCGGTCTACGCACACCGTTGCAGAATCGTATACGCATCGCGTAGCCGTGACGTAGGTGCGCGCAGTCTACGTAGCGCGGGTTATCGCGGGCGCTGGCAACATTCTATGCTACGACACGGAACCGAACCGAGCCGACGAGTCGCCGATACAGGGTAACGGGTTCGAGCTTCGAGGACGGTGGCGGCGATTCAAAGGCTCGGTCGGGGTGCCGGATAATATCGATCCCACTTTCGCATTTGCCATACATTGTTAGGGTGGTTCTCGAAAGGGGCTTTGCGCAAACTCTACGATATACAGGGTTGTATTTAGGGGGAGACTGCTCAAAATTTACTGATAACTAAATTCTAATACAAATTTTATAACAAACTGTAAATTGTATAAAAATGTCTTAGGGGCCGTTCAAGTATTACGTAAGCACTATAGGGAGGCGGGGGGTTGTTGATTTGCTTATTTTGGGCTGACATGGGGGGCAGGAGAGTCTGGATGATGATCACGTCATAGGTAGTATTTTTATTTTTGTACATTAATTGCAAAATGTTTACGTAAGCATGGGGGTAGGGGGTAAGAGCTTTGCTTACTTTTGCTGACAAGGGGGATGGGGGGTAAATAATTGTAATAAATCTGCTTACGTAATACTTGAACGATCCCTTATGATCAGCTAGTCGTATGTTATTTGTGGGATGATGATTTTAGTTTTTTATGTAGTATTTTGACAAATAAAAATTGTTCATAAAAATAGTTATATTGATATTAATACGTGCTGTTTACGTTCAAAGATTATCAATTAAAGCTCTAATTTTTGTGCTATAGAAGTAAAACTTGTCATCTATATAAGACATTTTTTTCAATTTATTTATTCTGCGATAAGAATTTCAATTAGCCTTTTTGCTGCTCATCATAGATCATAGATGCCTAAGTCTGTTCACAAAATTTATGATTAGCCATACATAAATTCTCATTAAATAATAATTAATACTGCAATTAATAAAAATATTTTTTTATACTTATTCTAGCAATTTTTGTTAACAATATATGAGAATGGTGAGAAATGTTAGACAAAAGAGCCAATTCTGCAAGACGGTCAATGTTATGGCAAGATGTTATGGAAAGATGATGTACGAATAACACCAAGTATAAGTTAGTGAAAAAATCATAGTACTCTAGAGCCTCCCCCCATGAAGTAATGCCTAACGGCGGTTTCGGTGGTTTCTGTAGGTACTATAAGCGTAAGTTTTAGTTGGTATTGTTTATAGTGAAGCTAACATACCTAGTCAAAAGACCTAGGGCCAATTCTCCGATAAAATACAAATGTTATGGCAGCGAAATGTTATCATAGAACTCTAGAGCCTCCCCCCATGAAGTAATGCCTAATAGCGGTTTTCTTTGGTACGATAAGCGTAAGTTTTAGTTGATATTTTTTATAATGATTCTAACATACCCAGGCAAAAGAATTAGGTGCGAGGTTTTAGATAAAATATAAATGTTATGACAGCGTTATGTTATGGGTCTATCTTCGTATGAATTGGTAGTAAAGAAATCTACAAACGTACAAACACATGAATGTTAAATAACAATTTTATCATAAGTGCTGCTTTCTGTTGTATCATTGATCACTCATACGCACAGTTAGGTTTTATTTGTAAGACGCCTGATCGAACAGCAATTGCATACATAGTTTTTTGACAGTTTTTACTACCAATTCATAAGAAGATAGAATATGACATTTATATTATATCGGGGAATTGTTCCCTATACTCATGACATAGTGTTACCATTGGTAACACATATATGAACATATATATATATATATATATATATATATATATATATATATATATATCTATTATATAAAAATAAGTCGAGTTTTCCTTCCTGACGATATGATTCCAGAACGCACGAACCGATTTCGACGATTTTGCATTCGTTGGAAAGGTCTCGGACTCCGTGAGGTTTATAGCAAAGAAAATTGAAGAAAGATTTCATCAGAAAAGCGGAAAACACTTTTTCTTTTTTCACATACAGCGTCATCTCTGATACTTAGCATGTACTACAAA